TAATTATAGACCAATTTGGTCTTAGCATTTTAGCTCTTTTTTTTTTTTGAGACTGTCATAATCCTTGATTCCATGTAATAGAATAGAACTCTGCCAACTGTTTGAACTAAGTAAGAATCTTAGGCGGCTTTATTATGACTCATTAGAGTGAGGCAGTCACTACGGATAGTGGTAGAAGAAGAGGAATAACCTTCCTTGTTTCCACAAATGCCTTTTTTCTTTGAAATGTATCTTTTATTGCAAAACCACGATTGAAATAATGGATTATTGTGGTATCCCCTATGTTTATGATGTATATTCTAAATTATTTGGAAGAATTCTACTTAACTGGTAGTTCTTAAAGTATGGTCACGGGTCCAGCAGCATCAGGATGACTTGGAGACTTGTTAGAAATACTAATTCTTGGGTCCTACCTGAGATACTCTGGGGATGGGAACAGAAATCTTTTAGTTAAGCCCTCCAGGTGATTATAGTACATGCTAAAGTTTGAGAATCGTGGAACCGGATGATCACACCCATCATTTATTGAAATCTTTTAGACCTCAGGAAGGCAACTGTATTCTTTTTGCCTTCTACCCAGTATTTAGGTGGCACTGGCTATGTGCCAGTCATTGCCCAGGCACCAGGGAAACACTCCTTGACATGATAGACAAGATCCCTGCTCTCCAGCAGCTTACATTTAGAGAAAGGATACTGACTGTAAACCAAGATTGTGACAGGTATAATGCAGAGAATTAAACTTAGGTGATAGAGTGTGTGTTGGGAAAGGCCTTTCTGAGGAGGCGAAGTATAAGCTGAGTTTTCAGTGCTAACAAGGGCCACCTGTGTGAAGATCACTATAAAGTACTATAAGATGGGACTTCTCTTTGGTGTGTTTGAGGAGCATAAAGAAGGTCATTGTGGCTGGAGTTGAGTGGGCAAGGGGAGAGAGGTATAAAATGAAGTTGGACAGGTAGGCAGAGGCCAGATCATGTAGGACCTTGTAGGTGTTGCTAAGCACTGCCACCCTCTTTTTTGTTGTTTGTTTGTTTAAATTGTGGTAAATTTCACATAAGACTTCCCATTTTAACCACGTTCAAGTGTACAGTTCAATGGTATTATGTATATTCATATTGTGGGACAATCATTATCAATGTCCAGCTTCAGGACTACAACTTTGACTTGACTTTGTGTGGTGTGGGGAGCTTTTAGGAGATTTGAGCAAAGAAGTGACATAACCTGAACCTCAGAATAAAAGAATTACTGTCTGTTAATGTTGAGATCTGACTCTAGAGGGGCGAGGAAGAAAGCAGGGAGACTCGTCAGGAGGGTGCTGCAGTAATCGAGGTGATATGATGGTGATCTCTCAAGGATGGTTGTATTGGGGGGGGCTAAGAAACTTTGAGATTCTGGATATATTTTGATGGTAGAATCAGTGGACTTTTCTGATTGGTTGACTGTGGCATATGAAACAGGGGAGTCGAGGATGACATTAAGTTTTGTTAGTCTCAGCAACTAGTAGAGTTCAGGAGATGCAGGTTTGAGGGAGAAAAATATGATAAGTTAAATTAGAAATGCTTCTTAGATGCCCAGTTGGGATTTTTTTTTTTTTTTTTTTTTTTTTTTTGGAGACAAGGTCTCTCTATGTTGCTTAGGCTGGCCTCAAACTCCTGGCCTTAAACAATCCTCCTGCCTTGGGCTCTCCAGTAACTGGGCATCACCCACCTATGCCTGGCCCAGTGGGGATGTTGAGTAGGTAGCTGGATAAGGGAGTCTGGAGTCAGGGAAGAAGTAGTCAGGTTGGAGATGTGACTGGGGCTTGTATGCTTGGTAATGAAAGCCCAGAGACTGAATGAGATCATCTAAGCAATGAGTGTGGACAGGGACAGTAGGAGAGCTAACCTGAGAAGGGATTAAAAGGAGTAGCCAGTGAGGTAGGAAGACGACCAATAGAGAGCAACATCCTGAAAGGCAAGGGAAGAAAGACATTCGAGGAGGAGGGCAAATGGATCAACTATCAAAAGCTATTGACAGGCCAAGTAAGATGAGCACTGAGAATTGAGCATTTAAATAAATTTTAGCAATGCAGAGGTCTGTGGTTACCTTGACCAAGTTGTTTCAGTGATGTGGTGGGTTCAGAAGCCTGGTTGGGGTGTCTTAGAGAAAGGAAGAAGCAGCAGAAACAATGAGTATATACATTAGGCCATTTTTCACTTAGATAGCAGGGCTGTACAAAACACCCTGTGGTACAGGATAATGTGTTGGTGTCCCTGTGTTTTAAAGTTTGGATACAACACCTTTGCATGCTCATTTTATTTCAATTTTTAAAATGCATAAAAATAAATTAAAAATGGAAACTTGAGTAAAAATGTGGGAAGCTCTAAAGAACCTCCATGAAGTCCTAGGATCCTGAAGAACACACTTTGAAGGCTGTTATATTAATAAAGAAGGAATGAAATTCTGAGATGAAATTCAGCCAGTTGCAATCTAGGCTTAAGAAAGACATTTTGAGGTCTCAGAGAGAATCTTCCTGATGCTCTTCAGATTATACTACCTATTACTCATGAAAGATGACCTTGGAACTTCCCTTTCTTTCATCAGATGTTCTACCTTAAGATCTTTTGAATGAAAGGGGTGTTTGCATATGGTATTTTCCACAAATATTGGGTCCCATATGCCAAAGATGCCAAGATCATTTTGTACCCTCTTGCAGGGAAAAAAGAGCACAACAAATTTTTAAGGTCCTCTTGAAACTTCAGTTTACTTAATTTTTTATAAGTAAGATACGGTGACTTAATGTCTGATTTAAAAAATAAGTCTGTTTGACAAGGTATATTTAAATACCTTGAATTTTAGAGCAGCCAACTCTTTACTACAGACACTTGAAAGCAAAAGCCCATGTTTCTCTTTGGGGAAGAAATGACGATTTTACACCCCTGAAGTAAGTAGATTCCTGATTCACAAAACACACATTTTTCTTTTCCCTCCTAAGGACGTAGAGGGAGTATTACCATTTTTTACTGAGTGTAAAATGTCATTATTTATAACATGAGCCATAATTTAAGGTATTACTAAGAAAGAAAAAAATGCTGGCTCTTAGAATTGTAAAATGCTATTGGTTGTAAGAGATGTGAAAATGTGGGGGGAAACAGTTCATCCTAGAATCAAGTGAAATAGGATTTGAGGACCAGGAGGCATGAGTTCTGGTCCTGGCCATGTTTCTAGACAAGTCACTTTAGACTCCCTTTGCCTGAGGTTGCTCATTTGTATGACTGGAGTAATGCCTGACACAGCTATCTCGCAGGATTATGACAATGACGAAATGAGATAACTGAGATTGCTATTTTGAAAAGTAGATGCCACTGGGCATATTAAAAGTATTTATTTGATGTAAATAAATCCTTAGACATGATTAGGCAACTCAGAAAGTTTCTTACCTCATCTTTGTTGTCAGATTTAAAATAGAATTAAGTTACAGATATTTGAAAGTACAACATTTTCTTCTGCTAAATGGTTTTTATTTCATCTGGAAACATCTTTTTATGGTAGTTTTGAAATTAAAGAGAAAATGTAAAAATGATATAACCACAATGCTCTTATTATCTGGAATTAACCATTAACATTCTGTTCTGTGATCTTTTAAAAATTTATGAACTATTGGCCGGGTGCAGTGGCTCCCAGCACTTTGGGAGGCCAAGGTGGGCGAATTACTTAAGGTCAGGAGTTCGAGTCCAGCTTGGCCAACATGGTGAAACCCCATCTCTACTAAAATACAAAGGATTAGCCAGGTGTGGTGGTGTGTGCCTGTAATCTAAGCTACTGGAGAGGCTGAGGCAGGAGAATCACTTGAACCTGAGAGGCAGAGGTTGCAGTGAGCTGAGATTGTGCCACTGAACTTCAGCCTGGGCAACAGAGTGAGACTCTGTCTCAAAATAAATAAATTTATGAACTATTATGAAATAAAAAAGTAAAAGAGTATAATAATGAAAATTCATATACTTACCCTTGCCAATACAGGTGAAGGCCCATTAGAATCCTGAAGATCATGAACTATCATGAACTATGTGGGAACAGTGTTTTACATTTAGATTGGCATCTTGTCTTCATAGTAATCTAGTGAGATACACTGTTCCTCTTGTTTTAAGTCTTGAAAACCTGTAAATAAACAAGTTAATCTTGTCATATTTGTGCTTTATCCTGGAATATACTGAGGGGAGGGCTACTTTGTGCTGGTGTTGCCTTGGTCTGAGTTTCCTCAGATTTCTACCTCTGGGTTTGGTGATCTAGCTGTGGAAACTGGAAATATGACATCTGTAAAACCATAGTAATAGCTAGCCTATTATGTGCCAGACATCATGCCTAGACAATTTGTGTGTGTGTGTATATATGTGTATATAATTTTATACATATATATGTATATAATTTAATATGTATATAATGTATATGTATATAATTTTATTATTCATTTTTGAGACAGTGTCTCACTCTGTTACCCAAGCTGGAGTGCAGTGGCATGATCTTAACTCACTGCAACCTCCACCTCCTGGGCTCAAGTGATCCTCCTACCTTAGCCTCCCAAGTAGCTTGCATTACAGGTGTGCACTACCATGCCTGGCTGTTTTTTGCATTTTATTTTGTAGAGACAGGGTTTTGCTATGTTGCCCAGGCTGGTCTTGAACTCCTGGCCTCAAGTGATCCTCCCACCTTGGCCTCCCAAAGTGCTGGGATTATAGGCATGAGCCACCACACCTGACCTGTGTGTGTGTGTGTGTGTGTGTGTGTATATATATATATATATTTTTTTTTTTTAAGTTTTACAATAATTCTTCTGGCTAGGTGTTTTCATTTTGTAGTTTAGGAAGGCATGGGCTCAGAGAAATAGAGTAGCTGGTCTGAAGTTCCATGGTCATTAAGTTGTGAGCTGATGATTTCCATGAAGGTCTGTTTAATACCACAGCCCACATGTTCTATACCAAGCTGCCTCAATCCTCATCAGTAATCATGATCTGCTTCTTTTGTAGGCAGAATCCAGAGACCACATTTGAAGTATATGTTGAAGTTGCCTATCCCAGGACAGGTGGCACTCTTTCAGGTACTTTGCATGTTTGATTATGATTTGGTATGTTACTTATTGTTTGAGATAGCCATGCACACGAGATAATATTTTAATATGAGTAAATGGTTATTTGTCTCTAAGTATGTTTAAGTGCCTTTTTCCTTTTATTCATGCCCACATTATCCTAGGAAGAATGGAGAACGAAAACATAGTGAATAGTCTGAATTAAGAGTTCAAGCATAATAGGCTTGAAGTATGGCTTTATTCATTGTAATCATTGGGTCTTGGTTTGCATCTTTCACAGATGCCTGGAAGTCAACTATTTAGTGTGAAATATTGTCACCTTGCTAATGAGCAGGGCTTCACCTCTAGTCTAGCTTTCTAATGGTATAATTAGATTATAGGATACAAAATAATATAATGGGAATTCTCTGCCACTAATCTAGAAGGAGATGCTTGGACTTAATTTAGTAAATTTTATGTCTGCTGGCAAAAGAAGGTTGAAAATTAGTTGAAGGAAACACCTCCTCTGGCTTTAGCTTTTGGGCTAATTTGGATATGTGTTCCTGGACAAGAGGGTCCTAGGAAAGACCAGGGTACCTTGTGCAGGCAGCGTGTATCACTTCTTGACCTAAAATCTTTCTTGGTTAATGAGAAAAATAACCATATCATCTAGTATTCTTTTTCTTGGTGCCTAAGAGAGTGATACATTTTGCCAAAGGTTTGCTTAGGACTCTTGGTCCACCCACAAAAACACCTGCATATATTAATATTATTATTATTTTTTTGAGACGGAGTTTTGCTCTTGTTGCCCAGGCTGGAGTGCAATGGCGTGATCTCAGCTCACTGCTACCTCTGCGTCCTGGGTTCAAGCGATTCTCCTGCCTCAGGCTCTCAAGTAGCTGGGATTACAGGCATGTGCCACTATGCCCAGCTAATTTTGTATTTTTAATAGAGACAGGATTTCTCCATGTTGGCCAGGCTGATCTCGAACTCCTGACCTCAGGTGATCCCCCCGCCTCGGCCTCCCAAACTGCTGGGATTACAGGCATAAGCAACTGCACCTGGCCTATATTAATATTATTTGGGGTATAGAGATAGTGAATCTACTTGGATTAGAAACTTGGAGTAATCAGGATTCCAATGGTAGTTAGGCTCTTAATTGGCTTTACAACCTTGGGCATATGTTCTGTTATTTTAATTAGATTGTAATAATTGTAAACATTATTTGCTACCTTTCACTGAGTACCTGTTGTTATTCTATATGCCGGACATATATAGTGTCATTCGTTACAACGCATTTTTAAAGGTAGTTGGGCGGCATCCTCATTATACCTATGAGAAAATAGAATCCCAGGGAGGTGAAGTAACTTACGAAAATCATATAGCTACAGTGTGATAGCCAGGATTTTTGTCTAAGTCCTCTTTGCTCTGCTAAGTTGCCTTCTTGAGGGTAGTGACCATGCTGTACACATCTCTACATGTCACCTGCAGGGCTTTGCACCATGTCACCAATAGTTGTTGATGAAAATGAATGAGTTTTCCTTTATAGCAAATGTGTGAATAACTGCTGTACTTTTTGGATTATCTAATGAAGGCCATGAAACACATTACAAATTTATGCTTGTCCTGGAAGTAGAACGTGTGCATCTGTGTTAAGTTATGCCTCTTATTGTACATGGAAACCATTGGGTTTCAAAGGGAATTCTCTGTTCCCAGGTGTGTATATGCAGGAGCACTTCATAGGCTGACTTTACAGAGTTACCATTTGACAGTGGCTGTGATTTAACGATAAACTTAAGGACAAAACATTTTGTTATTTCTACAGTTGCTAATGTTTTTCCCTTTCAGTGCTCTAGGATTTTTTCCCCAAAGTTAAAATTAATTTTTTAATATGAACAAAATCTGAAAGGTACAGATGAAATGGAAGAATGAACAAAGTGAATAGCATTTATACTACTTCCTATTTCAGCCATCTCATTCCTCTCCCTATAGACAACACCTTTGTTTAACTCTACAGTTTAATTTTTAAACTCTTATTTTATGTATTTATTTTCATGAGATGGAGTTGCTCTCTTGTCACCCACGCTGGAGTGCAATGGCGTGATCTCAGTTCACTGCAGCTTCCGCCTCCTGGGTCAAGTAATTCTCTTGCTTCAGCCTCCCAAGTAGCTGGGATTATAGGCATTCGCCACCACTCCCAGCTAATATTTATATTTTTTAGTAGAGATGGGGTTTCACCATGTTGGCCAGGCTGGTCTTGAGCTCCTGACCTCAGGTGATCTACCCACCTTGGCCTCCCGAAGTGCTGGGATTACAGGTATGAGCAACCGTGCCCGGCCTATTTTTTTTAACTTTTTGTTTTGCAAGTATCTTATTTTATTATTATTTTTGAGACGGAGTCTCGCAGTGTCGCCCAGGCTGGAGTGCAATGGCGTGATCTCGGCTCACTGCAGCCTCCACCTCCCGGGTGCAAGCAATTCTCCTGCCTCAGCCTCCCAAGTAGCTGGGATTACAGGCGTCCACCACCATGCCCGGCTAATTCTTTGTATTTTTAGTAGAGACAGGGTTTCACTGTGTTGGCTAGGCTGGTCTCGAACTCTTGACCTCTTGATCCACCCACCTTGGCCTCCCAAAGTGTTGGGATTACAGATGTGAGCCACTGCACCTGGCTCTTATTTTTTAATTAGTATAAATTTAGGGGGTACAAGAGCAGTTTTGTTACGTGCATATATTGCATAGTGGTGAAGTCTGGGCTTTTAGTGTACCTGTCACCTGAATAGTGTACATTGTACCCATTAAGTAATTTCTTATCCCTCAGTCCCTCCCACTCTTTTGAGTCTCCAGTGTCTATTATTCCACACCCTATGACCATGTGTATACATTATGTAGTTCCCACTTACAGGTGAGAACATGCTGTATTTGACTTTCTATTTCACTTAAAAGAATGGCCTCCAGTTCCATCCATGTTGCTGCAAAAGACATTTTTTCTTTCTTTCTTTCTTTTTTTTTTTTGAGACGGAGTTTCGCTCTGTTGCCCAGGCTGGAATGCAGTGGCCAGATCTTGGCTCACTGCAAGCTCCGCCTCCCAGGTTCACGCCATTCTCCTGCCTCAGCCTCCCGAGTAGCTGGGACTACAGGTGCCTGCCACCATGCCTGGCTAATTTTTTTGTATTTTTAGTAGAGACGGGGTTTCATCGTGTTAGCCAGGATGGTCTTGATCTCCTGACCTCATGATCCACCCGTCTTGGCCTCCCAAAGTGCTGAGATTACAGGTGTGAGCCACCACGCCCGGCCCAAAAGACATTTTCTCATTCTTTTTTATGGCTGAGTAGTATTCCACATTTTCTTTATCCAGTCACCCATTGCTGGACACTTATATTGATTCTATATCTTTGCTATTGTAAATAGTGCTTCTCTAAACATATGAGTGCAGTTATCTTTTTAATGTGATTTATTTTCCTTTGGGTATATACTTGGTAATGGGATTGCTGGATCAAATGAATTGTTTTGAGACTATTTTAAGAGTTACAAGAACAGTCCAGTGCATATGCTCTTTCCTTAGATTTGCCAGTTGTTATTATTTTGCTGCATTTGCTTTATCACTCCCCCCCCAACGCATACACAGCACATACGTGTGCACGTGCGTATACGCACACAGAATTTTTTCTGAATCATTTAACAGTGAGTTGCAGACATTGTGACCCCTCACCCCTGCATATCCAAGAGATATTCTGGATGTATCTCCTAAGAATAAAGACATATTCTTATATACCCCTAGTATAATGATTGAAATCAGAAAATTTAATGTTGATATAATGTCAGTTGCCCATATTTAAATTTAATCAATTGTTATATCATGTCCTTTCTAGCATTTTCCCTATGATCCAGAATCCAATCCAGAATCATGCAGTCCATTTAGTTTTCATGTCAGTTTACTTCCTTTCAGCTCAGAATGATTTTTACAGCCTTTCTTTGTCTTTTTTGACATGTTTTTGAAGAATTTGGGTCTGTTGTTTTGTAGAAAGTTCCTGGATTTGTATCTGTGTGATTGGATCTTCATGGTTAGATGAAGGTTATGTGTTTTTGGTAGAAGTATCTCAAAAGTGATATGTGTCCTTCAGTGCATCCAGTAAGCAGGCACATGATATCTGTCCTGTTATTTGTGAAAAAGTACATAAAACATATGTATAGTTTAACAAATAAGTATAAAGTGAGTAACCATGTTATTACAATCCAGGTTAAGAAATACAGTGTTACCCAGTTCTTCAGAAATACTGGTCCTGGCAAGAGGGACCCCTGACTTGGCCTGCTGCTTTAGAGGGATCTGCTTTGTCCCTCCTCTACCAATGCCCTTTCCACAGGGCAGAGAGTCTCTGGAGCCTACGGAATATGCTCACTTGGAGCCTAGACCCTTCCATCCTAGACCATGCTTTGAGCACCCAGCATCTCACACCTTCTTGCCCAAATGGACCTGAGCTTTTTTTCTGGAGCCTGTGTGAGTCTCTCCCCTGGGGTCTGTCCTCCTGGGAGTGGACTATGCTGCTGGTGTATACATCCCTAGGTATAAGGGGTGGTCTAAGGATAGCTGTCAGTGGGGAGTAGAGTATGGGATAGAGCTTGTAGTGCAGGATGGAGAGGGGGCAGTGGGCAGTGAGCCAGTGGCCAATTTGCCCTGCACCACTGCTTTTCTCCATGGAATGCAAATACAAAACTCAGTATGAACATGGTCTTTTAGTTAGTTGTAAAGGTATATTTATTATGGCAGGAGGATAGAAAATATTTAATAGTTTGTATGCTTGTTTTATAACTTTTAAATATGTAAATATTCAGATGTATGGTCTGTAGGTCTCTATTTGAACCCTCGCCTAAGCCCTGTAAATGTTACAGGTGGGTTTGCCCAGCACCCCAGAGGCCCTTCCTCGCTCCCTCCCTCCCTCCCTTTAGAGGTAACTACTAGCCTGACTTTTATGATAATCATCTGTTTGTTTTTCTTCATAGTTTTGCTACATAAGTATACCTTCTTGAAAAATATA